TGGGTGGCGCCGGGGGCCTAGGGGGAGTTTAGCACCCCATAATCTCCACCGGCTGCCCCAAGGAAATACTCTCAAGCGTACCCTAATAGCTACAGCTCCCCTCATTGCACCGGAGCGCCTGCACGCAAAGGTAGCTCCCCGGCAAGCGCCCGCCCCGCTCCTGTCCCGGAATCCGGAGCCGGGCGGAGGGGGAGCTCCCAGCGCGGGCGGCGGGCTCACCCGAGTGCAGGCCGATGCGGATGCGCACGGGCACCGCGGGCATGTGGCGCATGTGGAAGGAGCCCACGGCGCTGAGGATGTCCAGGGCCATGTTGGCGATCTCTGCCGCGTGCCGCTGCCCGTTCCGCTGGGGCAGCCCGGAGGCCACCATGTAGGCGTCCCCAATGGTCTCCACCTGAGGGGGAGATGCAGGATTTCAGTACTGAGCACCCCCCAAGTGATTGTCCCTTGTCCGGAGGCCTACACTGGGTTTAAGCGCAGAGACACTGGGGATCCTTCGAGCTGGGGGACTGAGCTGGGGACCGGCAGGAGAGGGGGTCTGGGAAGGAGGACTGGGCTGGTGGCCCGGGGGCTGAGCGGGAAGGGCTGGGCCGGAAGCCGGCGACCCTGAGGAAGGGCCTGTCCCCTGCACACTCCACCTTGTAGACATCGTGGGAGCCGATGATGGCATCAAAGAGCGTGTAGAGGTCGTTGAGCAGGTCCACTACTTCGATGGGCTCACTCATGGCGGAGATGGTGGTGAAGCCCACGATGTCGCTAAAGTACAGTGTCACCTCCTCGAAATACTCGGGCTCCACAGGGGTCCCCATCTTCAGAGCTTCAGCCACAGACCTAGGGGTGGCCGGCGGTGCGGTTACCTGGAGGCCGCCCCAGTCTGGCTGGATTGCGGCTGCCCTGCCCACCCTTCCCCCCGGGACCCACGGAGGCAGCATCTGCGTGAGGAGCCGCTCTGTCTTCTGCTTTTCCAGCTCCAGCTCCTCCGTGCGCTCCCGGATCAGGTCCTCCAGGTTGCTGGAGTACTGCTCCAGCATCCGCAGCATCGAGTCGATAATGTTGGTCTTCCGGCCCTTGTTGATGCTCTTGAACTAGTGGGAGGAGGAAGCTGGTGGGGCTGCTGAGGACCTTGGCTGCCCTGGCCCTCTCATGGGGCTGTGTTATCCCTGACTCTCTCTCTCTCACCCATTCATTCATCTTCAACCCATCAAGCCCCTCCCACACCCGGGATGCCGGGCGCTGTGTCTCACACATTATTAGTAGGCCACAGGAAATGAGGTCCCATAAGGTCAGCTGGTCTCAGCTAGTAATTGACAGAGCACTGAAACCAATCCATCCTCAGCGAGGAGGGCTCCTCCCACATCGCCAATTCCCAGGCCCAGGGTCTTTCTGCCACATTTAGTTATCAATAAATATTGAGTTGAATCAAATATTTCTCCCACCCACAGCTCCATCTCAGGCTCCAAAGGTCTCTACAGCCCCCCCCCCCAACTCTGCCCCACCTAAAGCCCAGTCCTCAGGGAGCCCCTTAGGAAGAGCCTGGGCGGTCGGAGGTCCTGCCAGCCTGTCTTCCTGCATCTCCCCATGTTGCTGACAGGCGGCCAGCCCAGCCCTTGCCCAACCCCAGCCCCTAACCAGGCTGAAGGTGCGGTCCATGGAGGGCCGATGGTCCGGTTGCTCTGCCCAGCACTGTGTCATCAGCTGGATGCACTCCATGGGAGCCTGGTCCACGGAAACCAAGGGCCGGCACAGCGGAGGGGGGTTCCGCACCCTCTGCACGACCTCTGGAGGCATGAGGGGACCGTGAGAGGGGGTGCAACAGAACAGAAGCCTGATCGTGGAAGCTCAAGATGGGGGGCCTGGAAGGGGGTCCTTTAAATCAGAGCCTTGGTAAGTGGGGAAGGGAGTTGCTAGATGCAACAAGGGAACCCTGAACCCCGAGGGGCAGGGGGCAGTAAGGTGACAGACTACCATTTATTACACATAAGAAGTGAGGGCTAGGATGATCGAGTAGCTTGCTGCGTCCTATAGATAATAAATAACATGGATTTGCATCATGTTCAACTGCTCTCTTCCCATCTTCCCCCCGACCCTGCCGCCTCCGTAGGCCCCCTAAGAACCAGAGAGGAGCTGGTTCCATCCGTTGGGGAGCAGTTTGGAGCCCAGGATCAGGCCGGAGGAAGCCACTGAAGTCTGGCGCCTAAGAGCCGCCCCTGCCTGTCCTGAGGCTGGGCTCTCTACTGCGTGGCCCCTTCAGCCCCCAGCTTGAAGGGAGGCCTCCATCATGACGTCTCAGCACTGGGCTTTCGGGGAAAGAGCGAGACCGGGTCTGGCCAGGCTCTGTCTAGGAGCAGGAGGCCCTTCTAGCCCAAACGCCACGCGAGGGGCGGCCGTACCCGCGGGTGTCAGCGCCAGCATGGCGTAGGGGGCGCTGCGGCACACCACCTCCTGCATGATGATGCCCACGCCG